TAGACTCTTGGCACTCTTAGGTGAGCAGACTTAGTCAGCCTGTGTTGCCCTAACAATGCCAAAGTACATGCACAGCAGTTGGCCTGCCATCAAGCACATTGGCATATGCTGCAGGCCCAGTGACAGCAACAACCATGGTGGTTGACATTCCCAGCAAGCTCAACTGAGTCAGCATGGCAGAAGGCCATCCCCTCCTGGAACTGGCACTGCAACCTCTGTGGTGCTTCCCTACTTAGGTGCATGTTTGTCAGGTGCCTGCAAAGTGGAGCACCACTCTGACCACCTCATGCAGGGGTGAAGTTGACACTTTCTGCTGTAACTGGGGCCAGCATTGCCTTTCCCTTCTGCCCCTCCCACCAGAGTACACCCTGCTCTTGGAGAACCCACAACTGTCCAGCCTTTCTCACAAGCTCAACTCACTGTTTGTGTTTACAGCCATTGGGACCTCTGCTGCCTTTGTACAGAACCTGCAGGCACCAAGCAATGTCGTTCTTACAGGCTGCACATATCACCGGATGCTTGGTGTGGAGGATCCAACCCATTCTGTGCACTGGTTCCTCTATGATGAGCAGCTCCAGCATGCTGCCAGTCAGGCATGAGGTGTTCCAGGAGCCTGGGTGGATAGTGTTGCTGCTGCCCTTGAGCATTGCAACCCTTATGTGTGTGAGCTTCAGCAATTCCAGCTTGCAGAGAACCATGGCTCCCCAGTGCTTGAGCTTCCAGAACACACAGCAGCTGGAGACTTTGTGGCCATCATGCATGCAAACAATACAACCCATATCCATCCATAGAGCATTCTGATATGCTGCCTTAGTGAGCACCTCTTTGCACATTCTGACGCATGCAATGCTCACAGAGGAGGCCCCTAGGTGATGCTCAGCCATCATTCATCAGTATCCTTAGCCGGCACTATAAGCCATTACAGTACCCCATTCTGTTTCCTCATGGCAGTGCTGGTTGGGGCCTCCTTGCAGATGACCTGGCATTCCTTCAGTCCTGACAGTGCTACCCCCACCATATGACCCAGCTGGATTGGTACCACAGCTGGCTTGTGACAGAGGACTGCTTCCTTACATTTGGCTGCCTCACCAATGAGTATCTTTGTGATATGTTCTCCTGCACACAGGAGCAGATGCTGGACTACATTTGTTGAGCATGAGAGCATATTGCTGCTACTTGCCAAGCACCTCATACACCACCTATCAAAGAGGAGCCCATTGATATTGAGCTGCCAGCCAGCTTCACAGGCTCACACAAATGGGCCAGTGAGCAGACAGCAGACTCATTGGCCCTTGCACAAACAGATGGGAAAGCAAGCCTCTTCACCACCATGACATGCAACCCAACCTGGCCTGAGATCACAGAGAAACTCAAACCTGAACAGAATGCTTCAGACATTCCCATGATAGTGGCACGTGCCTTTAAGCTGTGACTCCAGCACTTCCACCACCTGCTCTGAACAAGACTGGGCAAGATTGTCTATATGGTCCATGTGGTGGAGTTCCAAAAATGAGGATTGCCCCATGCACACATTGTGCTCAAGGTACATTCTGTCTCTCTTTGCAGCAAGTGAGCAAATCACTCATAAATATGTCCTCCTAGGTCCATCCAGAGCTCCCACTGGATCAAGTGGACCGAGTGATCAGTGCACACCTGCCTGAAGACCCACCCCTGTCTGCTAAGGTGCAATGGTGGATGACCCACCCATGGAACCACCTGGATCCAGGCCACTACAGCTGCTGCAACCATGATGGCAAATGTCTCTATGGCTTCCCACACCCAATCACAAGTGAGACATGGATGGATGATGATGGCTTCATCCACTACAAACACCCAACAGAGGCTGACTGATGGATATCTTCTCACACCCTGCTCTTTGTGGATGAGCTTGACTGCCATGTTTGTGCAGACATTGTTGCCAGCTCACATGTATTCATCTACCTCTATAAGTACCTATTCAAAGGTGCCAATCATACTCTGTTCTCTATACTCCAAGAGAATCAACCAGCCATCAATGAGATCACTGACTACATCAAGGGCCAATACCTCTCTGCAACTGAAGCAGCCTGGCAAATATGTGGGTTTGACATCATCATGCGCATGCCTGCTGTCACATGGCTTGCAGTTCACCTGGAGAATGAGAACTTTGGACAATTCTTCTGGTGCAACAACAGTCAATCATCTGTGTCAACACTCCTCTGCTACTTTGCCCGCCCCAACAATGCAGCCTTTGCCACCCTCTGGTATGAGGAGTACTTTTCCCAGTACATTCTGCATCCATGGAATGGTGAAGTGCTCCCCAATGGCTCACCAGATTTTCTGGAGGAGGAATGCACATTCATGCCATGCAAAGTTGTATGGCAACGGACCACTGAACACCATGCATGGCTGCAGAGCCTTTCTCCATCCACAGGAGATGTCTTCTACCTGCAATGCCTGCTGCAGCATCTCCCAGCAAGAAGCCATGCTGAGCTCTACTATGTTCATGGTGTCTGGCATCCATCCTATGCAGCAGCAGCACAAGCCCTAGGTCTGTTTGACCATGAGAATGAAGGATACTATGCACTGCAGGAAGCAGTGGAGTCTTTCTGCACCCCAGCACAGCTGCATTTTCTCTTTGCCCAGCTGGTTCTGGAAGGGTACCCAGCAGTCCCTCTCTGGGATGCCTTCACTGAACACTTGCAGCCGACTTCAATCTGAGGATGAGGGATATGCACCAGGCAACACAGCAAGCACTCCTCTCCATTGCTGAGCACTTGGAAGAACCTCAAGTTCTTTGGGCTGCCACAGCCACAGCATCACTCAGCTGAGGTAGCCTGTGAACTTGCTGCCTTTGCAGGACAGCATGCCACCTTGCAACCACAAGCAGCGGCTGCCTATGCTGTGCTCATGCCAGACTAATGGCATATCTACGATCACTTGCAGCAGTTGTTGGCAGAGCATACAAATGCAGAATGCCCATTACTGCCCCAGTTTGTCAAAGGAAAGCCTGGACTGCATGGAGAGGGTAAAATAGTCCTCATCACAGCATCAACAGGCATAGCAGCCTCAAATTATGACCGTGGTCAGACTGCACACAGTCTCTTCCAGATCCCTGTCCAAGAGGTGCATGGGCCACAAAATGGTGGCAAGAAATGCTCATATCTGTCCCTGCCCAGGATAATGCTGGTGTGCATTCACTGGTGCAGCCCAACTCATTATGGGCAGACCTCATCTGTGCAGCCAGCCTCCTTATCCTGGATGAGCTGCCTGGTGCAAACTGCACAACAGTGGAGGCTATTGATACTGCTTGCCGTCAAATCACAGCAGTGGATGCACCCTTTGGTGGCATACCCTTCCTTGGCTTGGGGGACTTCCAGCAAGTGGCACCTGTTGTTGAAAGTGGTGGTGAGATGGCAGCATATGAAGCATCCATCCTTTCCAGCTACTTTTGGCCAGCCTTCAATGTTCACTCACTGCATGAGCCAGTGCGAAACTGCAATGACCCACTCTTCTCTGCCTTTGTTGATGCAGTGGGAGAAGACACCTCCAGGACATGAATCTGGTTGCTGATGCTGGGTGCAACCACAGAACTGGGTATAGTCCTTGACTTTCTCTACCCAGCAGATGTTCTGCATGACCCAGCTGCTGCTATGCAGTGTGCTTTTCTCAGTCCCTGCAACCACTTGGTGGATGAGTTTAATGTGCAAGCACTTGCACTCCTCCAGACAGATGAAGGTAATCATGTCATTCCCAATGTGCATGCACAATGTGCTTACAGTATTCCCAGTTGTCTACCACAGTGCAGATGCAGTGAAGGAAGGTGAAGATTTGGACCTTGATGATCCTTGGCAAATGCCAGATTATCTCAACACATTGCACCACCATGGTGTCCCGCCTCATGCCCTTCATCTCAATACAGGGGCAGTGTGTGCACTCATGCACAACCTGTCTATGCAGAAAAAGCTAGTGAAGAATGCCTGTGTGGTTGTGGAGGCTCTTAATCAGCATTTTGTGCAGGTGCGCATCCTCAACATGGATGGCCAACTGGGGAATGACCTACACTGTATCCCCCACATCTGCTTCACCTTCAAGCCCCACTGTGCAAGCTGGACAGTCATCTGCAACCAGCTTCCACTCCGTCTGGCATATGTGACCACATTCAACAGCTGCCAAGGGCTGACACTTGATAGGTCTGTTGCACAGATGTGTTTGCACATGGCCAGCTATACACAGCACTAACACGTGTATGCACACATGCTGACTCAGCAACCTTCTTCTCACATGATGCAAATGGTAGTGTAGCAAACATACAGAGTGCCCGGCTGCTCTGGCATATGGTCAGGGACTAATACTATCCTGCATTTCCCCAACAGGGCCCGAAGGGTTCACCCCTTGTATCATATAATCACAACTGATTGATATCTGTTCTTACTATCCAAGCTTGACTTGTAACTCTTCTTGACCAGCATGAGGTCATCCATGTTTGCTACCAGTCCAATTGAGCTCCAGCAGGCTATCGTTGAAATGGTGGATCTACCGGAACTGCTGGCTTTGCGCGGGGTATTACCCAGTCACATTAACACATCGTCCCAGGCACTGACACCGACTCAGGTTTGCAGAACATTGTTGTGCGTGGTCGATACCGAACTTCGCCTGCGGGCGAGGCGTCTGGCTAGCCAGCCAGGTCAAGCGGTCCCGGCATCGCCTTGCATGTGGAAGGACCTCCCAGCAGCGGATGCCGCTTCCTACCTTCACACAATTTTGCGCGGGGGGGAACACCGGACTTTGGCATCACTGGCACCAAAGTCCTCCTATGTTATGGAGGCCACTGAGGTGCCTTTGGCGGGCGGGCGTTGGCAATGGGCTGGGATAGTCAACGGCACTCTCCTTCTCTTGACGGCACGTCTGGAACTCTGTGGTTATGACTATCACGGGGGACAGCTAATGGAAGTGCCGATCCTCGGCACTCGTGCATTGGCGAAGGCATTACGGAGAATGGGGAGCGTCCGCGGGGGTATGCTTGATAGTGATCCTGTAAACCCGGCGCTGCTCTACCTTACGTTGGACTTCCACTCGACAGCCACTTGCACGCATGTCAGAAACGCAAACAAAAACGACAGTGTCTGCCAAAGTAACACCAGGCTTTTTCGCTGCACCGTCGTCAGAAGCATGACAGACGCCATCATACGAGACAAGGCGAGGTACTCGAAGTCCAGCGGTCTCGTGGAGGGACAAAGAACTGGATCTGCTGTACGCATCATGAAGGCGCATACGGTCTGCATTTGGTCAATACAGGTTCTAAACGAATCGTGTCTCTGACTGTGCCGCCCATGGTCCGTGTAAAGCTTATGCGACCAGATGCCTATTGCTGACAGCATCGAGATAGGAATTTGCACAGAACGCGTTCTTCGTCCAAGACATGCTGCTGGTGATGCTGACCAGATGTTTCGCAATCTATGACCTCCATGACCTCGGCCACCTTGAAGTGCCAATCCCGGGCCCCCCGGGACCCAATCTGGGTTATATGGAGTTGTTCAAGATGAACCACATGATATGGAGCAGTAGGTTGTGGGATAACCACCGGTCTACTACCTTCGTCGATGGCCGTCAGGGACAAACCCATGTATGTGTTGGAATCCTTGCTCGATCACGACACTGGATCCAAAATTTCCGGGTTTGCATTCATCGGGGCCAGTCGCCCGTAGCCACATGCAAAGTACAATGCATTGTTGAGCTGCCTCCAGTAGGTCGCATATCCGGGTTATGCGTCGGCCAATCCGGTATAGATGCATTCTTCATTCAACATTACGAGGCCATCAGCACACAGGGGTTGAAACTAAGGCATGCTTTGGTCCGAGCCCGTCTGCCCTATGAATGGAACCAACACCTGCTGGAAGATGTGAATCCGAGCACCATCCCTCGCACCGAAATATGGCAAGATGAAGAAGGGTTGACCCACGCCAACATTGTGGGGTTCGATGACGTGAATGTGGCTTTGCTCGTGGGATGTCCGGGGAGCGGTCGGTTGTTGTTTGTTGCCCCACCTTCGGTGCTGAAAAACGCGACTCGGGCCTCTAACCAGCGAACGTTTGTACGAAGTCAGGGATGGGATGACCAGGACATGGCGGGCTGCGCCCGCTTTGTCGAGCTGCGCAATATCCTGGTGAGTGTGACGCGCTTGAGGAGGCTGCACTCGGAATTAATGCCTGTGTAGGAGAATTGCAGGTTCGAACGACTCGCAGGACTGGCTTCGATGCACCCAGCTAGGGGGAGACCCCGGGGCGCCAGGGGTTTCCGGCCCCGGCCCGGAGCAAACGGGGCGACCCGGTCACCAGGCGATGTGGAGCATGCCTGGACGGTACTATTGCGCTGGGGCATGCACATGCAAGCCAGAGCATGGCTGTTGGGAGGGTGTCCTCCCTATGATTGGTGGGTTGCAGTCGAGGGCCTTGGGCTACTGCACATGCTTGAGTGGGAGGATGAGGAAACACAGAATGTCTCATGGTTCTTTGCGCCAACAACCTCTGACAATTTCTCCATGCCCAGCCAGGCCGAATGTCAGGCACTGCAGTGGCTGCAGCCCGAATCTCAGTGCTGCGTGGTTGACCTTGATCGCATGACAGCGGAAGAGGAGTGGGAAAGTGATTGCAAGGAGGCTTTGAGCGGACTGGCTGAGTGGTGTGGAGAGAGGAGGGGTCATTAGAGCAGAGATCGCTATGTAGCAAAGATGATTGCCTTGAAAAGGTTGGGATTTTTGGACGCTTTCCTCGAAATATGCGAGGCCACAGTCCTATGATTATGTTTGAATTGTAATATTATGGTAATGCAGCATCACTTCTAACACTGCAATTGCGGTATTCAACAACACCAAATGGCTACCATAGCCCACCCCGCGGCTGGAACAGCTTCGGTATGCAAGTTGGAATCCGATCGGCAACCCATTTCGCGATGACTCAGAACCATACCATCGCGCAGTGCGATCTGCTAGCAGATCCCGATGCCCTTGGCGGTGCAGGTTACGAATACTGTTCATTGGACTCTGGATGGTCAATTGGCGATCACGGTGACGAGCATGGACGGATCATGTATGTGGAGAAGCAACTAGATCTGCCTGCGTTGGCCGATCACCTGCACGCAAAGGGCTTAAAACTTGGAGTATACGTCGTCCCAGGGGCGTTTTCCAAGGACGCGAACAAGACGATCTACGGAACGCACATCCGACTGAACAACACTTTTACCGGGCACGACAATGGTCTCTCAAGAATCGATTTCAACTATACCAGAGACGGGGTACAACAGTGGCATGACTCTGTTGTGAACCAGTTCGCAGAATGGTGAGCATTATAATAATCACTAACAGGCAGACAGTGATGGAGGCTTTCAGGGGTGTTGATTTTATCAAGCTTGATTTTGTGACACCAGGAAGCCCAGAACATGATGTCCATTTGTCGCCCGATACGAGCGGAAGTGTTATCGCCTTCCACAAGGCTATCGCGAAGGCTTCCCGGCCAATGCGATTAGACGTCTCCTGGAAGCTCGAACCAAATGTTACCTACTATGACGTTTCGAGACGCAATGCAGATAGGTAAGTGCACTGTGGGGTATAAGGATCAACCTGATACAGGAACAGCATGCGAATAGATCAAGACATTAACAATCAGCGCGCAGATACCTTCGTTTCATGGGCAACCATACAGCGCGCAATTGACAATTGCCGGCAGTACATCAACCTTCATACCCATAGTGTCGAACCCCTCACGATATACCCGGATCTGGACAATCTTTACGTGGGAAATGCAGCCAACGTCTCCGGCATCACGGATGCCCAGCGTCAGACAATGATGACATTTTGGCTGGGGGCTGGTGCAAACCTGCTTATTGGCTCTGATCTTCTGCAGTTGGACGATTTCGGCAAGAAGTTATTGACTGACACCGAAGCACTGGATATAGCAGATTTCACCTCACAATACCCAAGGCAACCGCGTAATCCTGGAACAGGTGGAAACATTGCGCAGCAACTCCAGGCGTGGATCGCTGGACCTGATGTGAGTGGGGAAGCTGTGGTAGTGGTTGCCAACCTTGGCCCACCACTGGGCCGTAGTGGGTACGAAGATCAACCGAGTGTTGAAGGAATGGTGGAGGTGGAGGTACCTTTTGCGAGCCTAGGCATCCCGGGGATCCACAAGGTCAGGGACGTTTGGAGGCACAAAGACCTGCCGATGAGGATGGATGGATTGCACGTCCTTCTTGGTGAAGGAGAATCGAAGCTGTTCAAGCTCACTCCTGTTCTGTGAGCAGTCTTAATTTCCTATCAAATGGTCCGTCCCTGATTGGCTCTATCTTGCTGCGGAATAGCCCTCTTGGATTTTGAAACATATTGTACAATAACAGAGGATACCCATATGCCGGCATGTTTAACCAATGAATGAGGTGTATTCAGCAGCTCCCAGGAACACCTCTGGGTGAAGAATCCATTTTGCACTAGCGGTATCCCCATCCGAACGCCTGGAATAGAAACATTGCAGATCCGCCCATCATGACTTACAACGTCATATGCCTTGGCATTGCGCCTCAGCTGGCGTCCGAATCCGAGTTAGGATTGCAGATTGAAGAAACATTTTTCGGGAATTTCCGTGCTTCGATACCTCGCGGCCCATCCTCCACATGAAGCTGTTGTACTTTCCCGGAAATCCCTTCTCAAGTCTTCAAATTCCCCTATCGTCGGATATGTCGAGTTCATGGAAGCCGAAGCGGGGCTCCGCTTCTTGGGCTCCTGACGTGCCTTGATACGCTTCTCATCATCAAGTCCACATGAAGTTTAGAAGTTAAATGTATAGTCGGGCCGAATTATCTGGCGTGTGTAATGAGCGAAGCAGCTTCATGTCCGCAGATTCTTGAATCATGTCGTCCTCTCAGCCGCCGACGTCCAACGTCCGGGACGTATCTATGGTAATGCTCTCATACTTTCCATTTTTGAGGTGTTTTGCACGTGCTCTAGAAATGGCCCATCGGACCCTATAGAGTTCAAGAAGGTGAGCACTCCCGCATCTCCGAGAAGTTTCTCATTGCCGACGTTTGCTTTTCCCTCCAAGCGCATGGAATGCGGCTGGCCGTGGGCGCGCGGTGAGAGACTGGCCTAATGCGTTCTGCCGAAGCGTTTTTCCCGGTCCCCCTTTCCCATCCACCCTTCTCCGGGCCGCCGACCTTCCGACCTCCAGCAGTTGGTCCGTGTCGTGGGGAACGCAATATCCATCCATTAGAACAACACGAAGATACAGTAGGACCTCGAACTCCCGTTACTACATACAGTAGATCGGCCCCATCCCTGCGTTCGGCGACAGATGCTCCAGCCAACATTCTAGCACATAGCAACAAGAACAGAACAACGGCGAAACAGCCAGTCACCGCTACACAAGAATCGAACGCTGTCGTCCCACTAGTATACAGCAAAGAGAACCAAGAAGCGAATTGCAACAGGAACGAGCCTCACTGAGAACCCGCGCCTCCTGCGAGCGTCGAAGGCCTTCTCCATGGTCGGCGAGCTTGCTCTGCGAATAGAGCGACCCGTAAATGATCCGTTAATCATCCGACCTTTTTTTGACCACTCGCAACTCGTATCTGTGCCAGCATGGCTCTGCACCAACCCCTAACCATTTTCCACGGCCGCGCACAAACTCATTACGTACTTCGCGGCTGCCTCTACATGTTGTCAGCCGTACGTCACTCCACCCCGCCCAAGTGGTCCATCCCGGGCCGCGGTGGTCCGCACTCGTGGGTGCGCCTTTGTGCATGAGCCGGGACTCGAAATGGGCGTTGTGGCAATATCCAGAGACAGAGTTGGCGCAGTGCCGCGTGCCCCCATAGGAGCACGGAAGGGCCAGGTTCAACTGGCTATAAACCCATCCCGCCGGGTCATGTGTTCATGAAAGAAACGCTCCTGAGGGCGAACGACATGATCCTTGAGCCAATGTTCTGTTTCCAGGTCGTAAATGTGATCACCCATAATGAATTGATCAACCTCCATGGCGAGGATCCTATCCCCGCGGACAGGCTCGGCTCCAAGATAATCAAGCCATAGTTCAGGTGTGGGCATTCGCCGATAGCCACTTTCGTACGCCGTATCTTGCAATGACCCATCAGATCCTGGTGAGCCCGATGCATCTGAAGGCGGACTGGGGGATGAGTAAGTTGATGATGGCGGCGGATAGAATTTCATATCCCAGTGGAATAGGGGCTTGAACATTATTCGCTCGATCCGCCAACCGTGCTCGTTCCTTGCTGTTGCAAAGTCGAGCAGCTTAAGCAGGTGTGATTCATCTAGCGGGAGGTCGGTGCACCACGACTCTAGCTGAGGGCAAATAGGTGCTTTGGCTTCGAGGTTGAAGATCGACTGGGTCATCCCATCAAGCACCTGCTTGTATGCGGCACCGTAGTCTGCCTCTGCATTGAGGAAAGCAATCTGGCGAACTGTGGGTAGTTGGCGCAACAAGTGAAGTACGAAGGCGGAGATATGCCGAACGACAAACGTTTCTACTGGTGGCTTTGAGACCTCGAGGAATTCGTAGACTGGCGCATCGAACGTGTAGGACGGGATCTCACATCGTTCTGTGTCCATCTCGAGCCACCGTAGTCGTGGTGCGGCAAAAAACTCGAAGGCGCGCTCCATCCACGCACCTGTGGCCACGACGTACTTGACTAGTTTCGGCATGGTGACCCGTTGGGTGGTATAGTGCGGGGCTGCCTGCGCTATGGTTGGAGAAGGGGGAATGTGCCAGGAAGTAGAGATGTCGATTCGGAGCTCTCGGAGCTCCTGCGCGGACTGGAGGAGAGGAATGAGGACATCGGGGGAAAAGTACGCTTGGGGGCTCGCGATGATGTTGAGCTTCTTGCACATCGCGAGCATGCGGTAATCGCCGTGCAATCGGCTGAGGGGAACATTATGCAAAACGACTTCTTCGAGCAACGGCATCGACGTCTGAAAAAGAGGAGCCATGTGCCCGCTGTCGTACTCCGTAAAGCTGGGAAAGGATATTTTCAACCGACGTAGGCGACTGCTCAGCACGGCTATGCACGGCATAATGGTCTCCATAGTCCGCGGATGAGCGCATGTTTGCTGGAAAGTGAACGTGAGGTCGTCTGTCCGGCTAGCACACAGATCCACAAAGCGGGGTACCACACTCGAGCTGGATTCGGGACCGATCTTGAGTTCACTCACTAGTCCCGCTCCTCGTGAGCGCAAGAGAAACGTGAGCAGTTGCCCATTCGACCACTGGCATGGTCTACGCCGGTGTCTCCCATCATCGTATCTTGATCGCTCCATGATGGGCACATGCGCGGGTAACGACGCTTTTGGTGCGAAACATACCGTAGCCCACAATGCAGCGGTGCGAGTAGCAATCCTTCGCCATCTAGTGCAGATGTGCGACATGGTGATTGACCAACGAATCTGGTTGGGCCATTCCTCCTCGAACGGCAGCTGGAAGATGTGCATGAGGATGTCATCTGGAAGACGTTCGATTGGCTTCATGGCCTCGTTCATGGATACCTGTAATTGACGAAATGCACGGGTGATGCCTTGATCTAGCTTGTGGATCTCGTGTGCAGCGTCGGAGACCTTGACATCTGGGTCGGTGCTGTGTGTGATGTTACGGCGATTAGGCGCAGTCGCATCCATTACACTGTTCAGCATGCCGAACAGGTCGACGGCATGCTTGAGGTGCGATGAGCGCAGGCGCATCTGTGCCTCGGGAGACGGATCATTCGGTACAAGGAGGGTGATGTGGTGGTTCGTTGACGATGACATTGTGGAGTAGAGTAGGCGGAGGGGTGATGGTGATGTGGAGAGCAGGGGCAAGAGGAGCGGGAACGGAACGGGGGCTGGAGTGAGCGAGGGGTAGATGCGGTGGGGAGAGGAGAGAGAGGAGAGGGAGTGTGATCCAGCAAGGCAGCAGGACCGTTTGACCTCGGGTGCCGGGATGAGGTTCACCACTCATGCGACACGTGAACGCAGGAATAGACCGCAGACCCGCGTTGGGCTGGCGCCGGGGAATATAATGCACTGTGTGTATGGATGCTTATGAGCCTGGTACAGATGAACACGGGGATATGGTGCGTTGCAACCGTGTACGTGGCTGTAGAGTAATGAGAGGGGGGTGAGGGCGGGGAGAGTAGAGCTGCTGACTTTGGGGCGGGCGGACGCAATGCCAGGTACTCAAAATGTCTGAATGGCTGCGTGTGGACGGGTGCAGTGTGCGTTGTCTGTCCGTCGATCTCTTCGTTCGTTCGACGGACAGCGTACAGCGCGGTTGGAGGGCAGATGATGGGTGATAGGAGATGAGAGGTGGCAGAAGAGAGTGGCCTGATCGTATATGCGCCTAGCGCAAGGCGCTGGCGATTGGACGTGCGAACAGTGCCTCGAGTGTCGGAGGTCGGAGAGGACGAGGCCCTGGGATAGATGTTGTTCGTCGTCCTGCTTTGGTATTCCAGCGTGGTAGCGGCCGCCGTCGCCGATGTCGTCGAAATGGAGGGAGGTATGACCTAGAGGAAAGCGCAGGGGGATAGGTGGAAGATGTGCTCAAGGTGGACCAGCATGACAAGAGAGAAGAAGGCAGAGAACGCTTCTAAAGTACCCTGCCGTGGGCCGGGTAAATTGAAATGCTCTGGGTACGTGTGGGCTCTGCGGACTCGGTGAGAGCGTGACAGAAGACGCGAAGGCAGGGTTCGTGGTGGACGAGCGGAGCGATTGCCAGGGGCACACCTTATGATAATACTGATGCTGATCTTGACCACCCGGAATAAGCGGAAAGAGCGGAACAGACTGTCTGCTCGCTGTCGTCGTCGTCGTCGTGGGGTTGGTGGTCGAGGGGTAGATGTATGCACACATGAGGGATGACAGTGAATCCGATTCCGCTCGCCCCTCACAGCACCGGATGAAAAAGCAAACAAAGTAATCCCCGATGCTTCCGTGTGACGCTTGACATGTGGACTGCTTATTTCACTCCTTCCGTTTCTATTCAGACCTCTTTAATATAACACTGCGCACGGCCCCCAATTTGAAGAGGCCACTGACATCCCTCCCACTCCTCACACTAAACACAATTGATATTATTCTCCTCATTGTCACAAGCACTCACCGTGCTTCTCTCCGCCATCTCGGCAGGACTTGGGCATATCAAAGGGAGGTGTACGTCATCTCACTGCCTGTCCCAAAGGGATCTTCTCCAAACTCGGCTTCGATCTAGAAGCATCAACAAAACCGCATCATTATCCACTTTGAACGTGCACAATTTCCTCTTCGTGATCAAGACGACACAGTGTGACGCTACTGCAGACTATGATATGGCATTTCCACAATGACACCACCTCCCACGCTCACTCCGCGCAATCGCTATCCCCGCAAAAACGCCGATCGATGTCCCTGGCTTGGTATTAGGACAATCTGAACGCGTCACCTGACCTCTCTATTGATAATCCATGTGCTCGCCCTTACAAGCCTCAAACCGTTTCTGTCTATTATCTCCGGTCTCCGAATTGGCCTGGTCACGCCCCCTGAGATATTAGGGCCCGACGAGTCCTCCGTACACCAGCGATCCCAACAGTTGATGCGCTGTCGATTCTCCGAGGTTCGTTTGGACATCCCAGGGTTCTTCCTCATCTACCTCGCCATCTCACTATATTTCTCATCTTCACCTGCCTTATCCCTTGCTTTATCTCTCCTAGCCCAAGCCGTATCACCACCTTCGAACGCGCCATCGTCCCACAAGGAACATCCAGTGTCCCCGAAGCTTCTCCCTGTTCCCACCCTCATCTTCAGCCCATACCTCAGCCGTATCAGCACGAGCGTGTATCCTAGACCCAGGCCGCCCCAGTCCATTCCAGGCGACTTATTCGATGTACCGTCCACAAACTCGGAGCACGTGAGCATTCCGCGGCCACCTCGCACTTACACTTGCCCTATCCGGTAACTTCCCTGCCAGGCAAGGAAACCCCCGGAGTTCTTCCCGGCCCCTCCTCCCTCACCTGGCGCATCTTGTCAGGGCGCGAATCTCCAAGTGGCTCCAGAGAGTGGTCTCCCCTCGGCCAAGGCCAGGGCGCCGCTGAGTCGGTCTCATTATGCTGTACTATCTGGATGACCTGAGCTAGTGCTAGAGGCTCCATCCCTGACGTTACCGATATGAGGATACCCAATGCCTATTTGCAATTGTCCAAGATTTCGCCAGGCGTGAAGTACACCAATCTTTACCCAAGAATTCGTGTTGCGCGTGAAGTTCAGGATGAGTATACGTCCATATGCTCAGGGGCAGCAAGTTCAGATTTTCTCACACCCCACGAGCCCTGGATACGGCGCTGCCGCCGATGAGCACCCGTCTGACCCCAGCTTCTCGCTTCGTTATGTTGGTGAGGATCCTTCTAACGCTTCTATACCACACCTCGCTCGCACAGAGATCGGAATTTTCGCGTATTCCTGTCAGACGGCACCAGACCAGGTCGATAACGTAAGTTCATAAGGTAAGCCCTCGGCGTACTGATAATAAAGGAAACTCCACTCCAAGCAAGACCAAAGCGGGAAACATAATGAAGGAACAAAGTGTGATCGGTGCGTGTGAATAGGTATCCTCGATGCTCGTTGTTGCTCGATTGGAAACGCTACAGTTGCTGCGGAAGACGCGGGACGAAAAAAGAAACGCAAGACAAAGGAGCGTATGCTTTATCAAGCCGTGTGTTGGCTTTGTGGGTTAAAATAAGTGGGGTATCATCCAGATGATCCTCCGCAGAAGCTGACAATCAACCGATTACAGCTTCAGTTCTGTCAGGACTCGTCGGGCCAGCATTTGGTATTGCCATGCATTGCCTCCAATCCGCCTGAATTGGATGCCGTGCAGAGGGAGCAGGGGCACCTATGGTGAACAGCGATCAGAAACAAAATTCCGACACAAGGTGCAGCTTCGCCTAAGCACTCACTTTAACCACATTCACTTCGAACCGCACAACCAGATCGCTCCTGTCCGAATTCTCGAACGCATTATTGACGGCTTCTCCAGAGATATCAGGACCGACTCTCCGACTAGGTGACATGCCGCCAAAATCACGCGGAATTGGCGGCAGAAATTTGCCCCGACTGGGCGACAGGGCTGGGGACGCAGTCCCAATCGGGGTTGGCGCATCATTGACAGGTGAAGCAGTTCTTTCTGGTCCCAACACCGCGCCGGCTGTTGCAGGGGCAGGGCAAACAGGTGTTACACCTATCCCTGGCAAAGTGAAAAATGAGGAGCTCCCTCCACTCGCACTAGATCGAATCGGTGGTCTCTCCTGCGCACGAGCGGGTTGTGTTGTTGTGTCGTTCGTCTTCTTTATGGATAGCCGACCAAGGGACAGCCGAGAGGATTTCCGTTTCACACGAGCTCCATTGACACCAAGTGTGCTTTCCTCCTCCTTAGCAACAGTCTTTAGATCGATCGAAGGTTGGTGAACGCATTCGAAACCGCTGGGTATTTCCCGATATTGCATATGCATGCGGTCGAGAACCCTCCGAATGTCAGCCTTGATGGCAGCTGGGCTCTTGGAGCTTGTGGTCGAGACACTGTGATAGTGTGAGATTACGTATAGGCACGCATGATGAAGGCTGCAACCCACCTAAACACTCCTTTCAGGCTTGCCGGCTTGACCTGCACGCTCTCGCCTCCAGGAATTGTACCCTCGTGGCTGCGCTCATCGCTGGCACGACCCTCCGTGCCTTCCTCGTTCACCTCCCACACGTCATCAAACTTGCCCACGGCGGCTGTGCGCGGGCGAACTTGCCCGCCGAACATGCCACCCAAAGAGCTGCGGCGATTATGTTTTCCTGCCCCTGTTGTCCGATCAAGGAGCGTCTGAGCTCTCCGATGGCCGATATTCTCTTTATCCTCTGCTTCCTCCGCATTGGCAACAGCGGCGAGCCCAGGTGAGGGAACACTCCGGCTTTCCCGTAGCCTGTCTTCGCGCTCCCGATGTTCGCCCCTCTCCCGTCGAGTACCCAGGATACTTCCGAATCTCCGTACCAGTGTTGATCCAGGACTGGTAATTTCCTCATCTTTGATGCTGCGCTCACTTGGCCGTCTCTGGTTGGTGCTTGCTTCAGCCACACTGCGGGCACCGACCTTCTCTGCGAAGGTGCCAAATTCAGGTCCTGCGGTGTGAGGCATCAAGAACTGGTCGCGATCTGTCTCGCCCACCGTAGGCAAGCCCATCGGCCCTGATGGTTTCTCCCGCTCCCAAGCTCCGACACGTTGAGACAAGCTGTGACTCCTCCTGTGGCTCGTTGCTGCAGGAGCCTTGATCGGGGTAGTGGGACTGGCATTCACGCCCAATCCTGCAAGCTCCTGCTTCTGACCCATAGACACGTTCAAGCTGGGCGATGCCGGGACTTCTGTTTTCCTCAGATCCACCTGTCCCCGCTCGGCTTCACCTGGAAGTTGCATAACAGCCTCCTGAGCACGTGCCCTGGGCTGTGGCTGCTGTGCCGCAGGGCCGAAACTAGGGGTCGTGGGTGAAGGGGCGACCGGCACACCATATGACGTCGCAGCAGTCGATATGTACGAGGGCGGCGGGGCAGGGAGTTTCGGAGTCGGGACGTTATATGCGGATTTTGGCTGCGCAGGAGTGATCGGTGTTGACGGCATCGAGACAGGCATGGGCGACTTGGGTGGTACTTCCGGAGGTCCAGATATAGATGACCGAGGTGGCACCTCATCTCCCACCAGACTAAGCTGAGAACTGGCGAAATGTCCGGGGCCATATACTCTCTCCCTCTCTATCTTTTCCCTGACAAGGTAGTAGATAGAGACGAGCGGATGGAAACCTCGTGTCGGATCCGGAGGCTCACGTTCAAGCGGGAGCTGCGCACCGGCATTAGGTGAGATCGGTGTAGGAGGGAAGCTAAGCTGGGGTGGATTTGAAGGTGGTGTGTTTGGTGGGGAGTTGCCAGTGCCAGGGAAGAGCTTTCGTCGATAGAAGTCAAAGCCGGAGAATCGCTTGCTTGCCTTTCGTGTGGGCGAAGAAGAAATACCGCTCGCTAGAGCAGCTGCCTGCGCCGCGCTCGACGGAGGCGGCATATATGATGTCGCTACCGTAGAGTTACTCGCAGACCACGAGCTCGCTCCGGTTGTCTCGCCAAAAGAACTCTCACTTTTCCACCCGAGCTGGCCATGTTGCCTCCGCTCCCAGCCCTCCACTGCGCGTTTGTATGCCTCGCCTTCGAGCACTGCCCTGAGCCTGTCCTCGATTTCCTCCTCAGTCCCGAACTCAAATCCAGTCATCCGCTTGATGACCTCCTTATCGAGATCGTCTGCACGGAGCGGCTCGCGCGGAAGCAGATGTGATGATGGGGGATGAGGATATGAACGGTTCATCCAGGGATGATTGAGCACTTCGGTCAATGTTGCCCGCAGTGCCGGATTGGTTACGAGCATTCTCGCAAGGAGGTTCTTGCATTCTAGGCAAATGTCAGGAAGGAACACGTAAAGTGACAGGGGTGCGCTCACCTTGACTAAGCCAGTTCGGGTACTCGACGACGCCTCGTTTTATCTTAGCATGCAGGGCAGGCATGCTTTGATCATCGAAGGGTACTCTGCCGCAGACCAGAACATAAAGAACCACGCCAAAACTCCATACGTCAACTTCGGGTCCGGTGTACACCTTGGCATTGAGCAGCTCCGGCGCAGCAAAATATAGACTCCCACAGAATGTCGAGAGATGATTGTGAGGATTGTACAAATTTGACAGGCCGAAGTCGATCAGCTTGATATTTCCCGATTGGGAAATCAGAATATTCTCAATCTTCAGATCCCGGTGGACGACGCTGTTCTTGTGGAGGTATTCGAGCGCCGAACCAATTTGCCTCGCAAACTTGCGTGCGACGCGTTCTCGTAACCGACCATGGGATATGATGTAGTCGAGCATCTGACCACCGGAGACGTACTCGAATACCATATAGTAGTGATGCGGATGTACGATAAGCTCACGCATGCCGCAAATATAGGGATGGTGGAGCAGGAGGCTGAGGGATGCCTCCCGAATAGTGCGAATCTCCTTGGACGCCTCCTTTGACTTTGGGTCATTGGGATTTATGACTGCAGCAACTTGGGCAGTTTGGGGCGGAAGGCTGCTTGATCCGGCGTGGGCATTTGGGGGGAGAGCGGATGGTGAACGGGGAACAATTTTTATCGCAAGCTGAGAGATACATTATAATGACGACAGGAAATAAGAGAACAAGCAGCGTACCTTTTCTCCTGTAACATTATGTGTCGCGAGCTTGACTTTTCCCATACTTCCTGCTCCCAGCGTCTTAGTCATCGTGTAATCCCCTATGATTCTCGCATTGCTCTTTGATCGCCCTTCACCATTGGCACTTGCGCTCGGTCTTGCCGACCGAGTCGGAGTCTCCTCCTCATATCTCCTCGTCTCTGGCGCTGGTTGTGGTGGCATGGAGAGGGGTCGCGCGCGTGTTGACCTAGAAAAAGAAGCAGCTCCGTTTGTCACGGGCGGAGGCGCGTCGTTCGCGTGTCTCAGTGGGCTCGGATCGCGAAAGTACGCCCTTGGTTGTATGGGCATATCGTATTCGTGACCAGTAGGAACGCTCCCACCGTGTGAGGGAGTGACGTCGCCGTTTCCGGGGCCTGGTGAGTCGTCGCCAAGGTCGTGTACGCGAAGGTTTGCGGGGTGTGATGGTGCAAGTGATGATGGATAGGACGACGCGGACGCCATATGCTTTTGAGGGTTAGTAGGCGCTCTCTGCTTGTCAGAATAGTGGATCTCTAGGCCGTCCACGCCGGGGCCGAGGTGGTCGAAGAAGAGAACAAGAAGGTAGTAATCAAGGAATGAAGAGAAAGAAGTGATGAAATGGAATGGGGACTAGGGCGGCAAGTTCCCTGTGCACGAGAAGGTCGGCGGCTCAGCCTCCGCGCGGCACTTGCTTCCCTTCAACACATGTCGGGCCCTTTTCGCGCCACTTAGTCTCGGGCCTGCCTTTCCTCTCGCCACTTTACACTGACTGTGCTAAATTGACTGATGACAGCCCCTATCAATTCTGCCAACGATGACTAGGACCACCATTACCGTTCCAGTATCTCTAGCTGCATACCACTATCGAGCCATCTAGGAGGCGGGAAAAGAAAAATCGAACATGCTCATTGCCAGACCCTGGGGCTTCTGTCGTCTTCGAACGTTTCGGGATACGCCCCGCATAGGATACAGATGCAGAATCTCTGTTTGCGGCTGAATACAGAAATAAATCTCATATATCAACACTTAGAATTTCATTTTGTCGGCCCATTTCAGGCCCCATTCTTTGGTGATGTTCCTAGTCAACACCGTTCCTTTGGATCTGCTTAGTCTGGAGTCTCGAAACGCCCTCCTCGCCAACCTGCTAGGTGCATCTTTCGGGTTTCCAACCATCCACCGACGGGCAAAATTGTTACTTGCGCACACGCCATCCATCTGTAGATGCTGTTAAGCGACCAAGTCTAGTCTTTTGCTATCCATGTTTGCGAAGAACATTGGAGGCGACATGTGGATTATCAGATCGGCGTATCCCGGGCCTGTGTAGCCATCATGACCAAGTACTCGGGTTAACAATATGTCCCACATTGATCTTACGAGCCGTATAAATGGGCCTGATCTATTGCTGGTCAATCATCTTTGCACCAGCGGCTGCTGTATCAAACTACTAGGCTATCAACTGCACGTCAGAAGCTGATCACCACTACAGTACGCTCTGCAGCTTCTCGCTTACATATCTGATTCTCAATCTCCTTCAGCTCATGCAGCAGCACCAACCCAGCATGCCCCTCCTCAACGCCCCTCCTCCCCTTCCACCCCCCTCATCCCTCAAAGGCTACCTAACGCAAACCCTCATCCAAACACTCGTTCAGTGCATCACACTCCTCTCCGGCCAAGCGCTCGGTTCCGCCGAATGCGAGCTGCGTAAATATGCCACCCGTCTCCTAGAAGAGACATACGACTCCAACTCCGGCACTCTGCCTTTTGGAGGGAAGCTGAGAGAACGGCAGATGCTCAGAAAGCTATTCTTCCTCTTTGGAGGGATGTATCGTGCTTATCCTACTCGGAGGCTCTCGTTCCATAAGAAGGGGATCGAGCTGCGAGTGGAGGAGCAGGACCAAAGTGAGGCGGAAGGTGAAGGGGAGGAAGAGCACATGTTCCGCCTGAGTGGGGAGGCGTGGACCGCTGCGCAGAAGGTAACGCTCAGAGTGAAGAGGGAATTAGGGATTGTGCGCGGCAGGTGGTTGAGAGACGTAATGTTGGCTTACGTCCGGGGAGAAAAATCCACTATGACTCCATCCAATCCTACTTCCTAGTCCACCACCCCTCCGCATGCTGCACGCCTTGCATGTCACATCCAGTTCATGTAATATTATACTGTGTATGCTAAATGTTCATGTTCGCCCCCCGCAAGCGTAACTAAACGTGAAAACAAAATACACCCCCTCTATCCAATAAGTCCGTTGAAGTCTAATGTCCCCCGAGTCCATTAACATCAGTGTAAACCCACCTCGCTCCATATCACCGTATCATCATGTCGCAGCACCGTAGCACCATATCACCCGTCTTCCGCCTGGCCCTCCTCAAACCCCTCCAACCGCTGTTCGATCCCCAAAACGACCCCACTCGCCTTCCTCCGTTTCCTCACCTCCAGCGGGCGGACCCGAGCCCCTCTCACACTGCCTATCTCTCCCTTCCCCCTTCCCCCCGCGCCCCCGGCAACACGTCCAACACGTCCAACGGCTGGATCCCCCCTCAGCCCCCCAACAGGAGGCGGGGAAGCCAAACTGTACACGCTGGGGCTACAGGTTGCGTACATCGTCGGACTGCTGACTTGGGGTGGGGAGAGGGGGAGGACGGAGACTTCTCGTGCTATTTGGCGGTTGGGGGGGTTGGGGTGCTTTGGTGGAGGGGGCGGTGGTTGGGGTTGGGGATCGTCGAGTGTCCGGGCTGCAGATCTGGCCAGGAGCAGACGGGAGATCCGGTCCCTGCTCTCTGCTTCTTCCTCTCCTTCCTCTCCTTCAGCACCAGCACCAGCGCCAGCCAGAGCAGACCCAAAGCTCAACCTCGCCGTCAACCCAGAGGGCACCCTCCTCCCTTCCCCCTCCCCCTGCCGACCGTGCCCCAGCTGAGCTTGGGGAGACTGCCCCTGCGGAGAACGAATAACCGCATTCGCCACCGCCCTCCGAAACCAGCTCGCTCTCGGACTCGCCTTCCCAGCAGTCGAGAGGCTCCTCTCGGACCTCACGGATCTTCTCGTGCTCCTCGGCTTGCCTATGCCTGTGCTGGGTGAGCCGTCTACCCCAAGCTGGGAGTAGACAGAGTAAGGTGAAAAGAGCGCCTTCCCTATTCCGCCTTCGGGGTCTGCGCGCCCGGGAGAGGGAGGCGATTCGAGCCCCGGTGCGAGGGAGATCGAGTACCTCTTTCCCCGGCCTAAGAGGGTCTTCCCCCCCGCGGCGGCGGTCGCGGTGGGAGCGGGATCCCAGAATGGGTCGGCGGCTCTTGTATGCGCTTTCTCTGGCGTGGCGGTCCATTCGTGCCCCGAGCGTGGGGGAGGAGAGTGCAAAGGGGAATAACGAGGACGCAGTGTCTCCCCCAATTTCCGTCGGCGAGCAAAACACCAGCCGCTGAGAAATCCCAGGAAGAGGCAGAACAGGAGCAGGAAGGGGATGACGTAGAGCAGCGGAATGGGGATGGGGATCTTTGTCGGGTCTTGGAGCGCTGCTCCTGAAGGTGGGGAGGGGGAGAGGGTCGGAGGTGTAGAGTTCAGTGTGGGGGAGGATGAGGATGAGGAAGCGGTAGAGAAGTCGTCCGTATCGGTATTCGTGTCTGTGTTCATATTGGTATTCGTGTTCGTGTCAGTATTCGTGTTTGTGTTCATATCCGTCGAGTCTGTCAAAGTAGCGCTAGAGACGGACGACAGAGTCGTCTGCTCGTCCAAGTCCAAGCTCGTACTGAGCGGATGCCCTGTCATCGCTGGAGTGGCCGTGGTCGTAGTCGTAGGCGTGGGGGTAGGTATAACACCCTGCGGGGGGTACGGCCACCAGTAATCATACGAACTCGTGCTCGTGCTCGTCGCCGCCCACTGCCTCCTCCGCTGGCTATCCAAGTGCATCTTCAATAACGGTTGACGTCCACCCCCAGTGGGAGCAGTACGACCCTCACGCGATCTTGTTCACGGGGCTCGATGACCCAGCAGCCACCTCCGTTCTGCGCTATCGCTAAGTCTTCCTGGCTCCCTTCCGAACTTTGCGGGCCAGTGAGAGGAGAACGTGGGGATTGGGATTGGGAGTGGGCAACGAACGATCCGTGGCGGACTGTGTGGGCTGCTGGGGAGTCTGCGGGGGAGCCGAGGGCGGTGCGGTAGGTGTTTTTCCAGAATGTTGTTGGGCGGACTGTGGGAAGCAAGAGATTAGTGAGGGTTGAAGGGGGGGAGGGAGAGGCTTACGCAGTGGTTGACAAGGCGGAGTGATATGATCTCCTGTTGGCTTACGCTGTACGCGTTTGGGGAAAGGATCTTGTACGGACCTGTCAAGGTAGGGCGAGGGAGGGGGCGTGTCGCCCGGTGTTGAGGGCGGGGTCGAGGCAGGCGAGGAGAGGGAAAGGTCGGGCGTGGAGGGCGGAGAGAGTGAAGCCGTTGTTGGAGTGTGTGCCTCGCTGGGGGACAGCGAAGGATATGCTGGTGCGAACAATATTGGTGTATGCGGGGGCGTCGCTGGATGGGAGTGGAGGGTGAGGGAAGAGGAAGTGGACGTTCGTGTGCGCTGGGTGCTGATTGGAATGGGAAAGTCGATCGATGCTGTGTTACGCCTGTGATAAGAACGAGTGGGAGGAAACGTGCTCGTGCTCGTGCTTGGAGTTGAAGGTGAACAAGTAGACTGAGAATCCCGTCTTCTCGGTCGGGTCGCTCGAGGACGCCTGAGCGCCTGAGACTGCGACTGAGACTGGAGGTGGTCCATCGCCAGCCAAAGGCAGCAAGCCAGTTACGACACAGCAATCTCCGCGAACCAGAAAAAGAGTAGTTCACAGTTACGAAACAGAAGAAGCAGAATCCTTGAGAATCGTTTTGTACAAGAGAATCGAGGTCAGCGAGGTGTGAGTTGAGATATCCCGTCCTACAGGCAGGGACGGCTTGGCGCGATCAAAACAGTCCAACCTGACTGGAATGTATGTACACACCCGATAGGCACGATGGGTTGTCTGTGTTGGACTATCCTTGGCAGGTCGCGGGTATGTTCTCCTCTATGGTTGGGGTTTTAGTAGTAATGTGAGGTGTGGATGCTGGGCGGTGATGAGGCTGGTGCGAGGCGACCCACCCCGGCCCTTTCCTTTTCAAATTATTTTGACACGTGAAACTGAAACAGACAGACACGGCAACAAACGTGTCATCAATGTTGTCTATCTCTCCTCATACGTTCGCCACGTCACTAGCTTTTGCTTGTCGGATGACGATATGCATTGAACGTCATTGTTTACGGTATTGGAGCAGATTATCATCATCGTATTTGCCAGCAGTCCATTTCCTTAAGCACATCTCCACCTCAATCGTAGCATTCAGTATGATACTCGGATAATCCACACGATAACATCCGTTTTCTCCACTGCCTCTCCGAAAACAGCACCAATGCCCGAGTGGTCGCTTGCTGGCCATCAGGTATTACAGCCTCAATTGACTACTTCATAAGAGTACTGTATTGCACATCGTTTCAGAGAACCTTACAGGTGCCGAGCGCCGGGAAGGGCCAGTATAGCAGTATATGTTTTGCCGTCGATTGAGTATATGATGCTATGTCGTGACAGAAAGCAAGCACTTGTCTGCTCTATTAGTGCTGTCTGCTGGCTCCTCGAAGATCCATTTGGTGCATTCGCCCCCCATCCCCCAAACCGGACGCACATTTCCAAGTGAAAAAGTGTGAAGGCCCACCACCGTCAACCTAACCCACAACAAGAAGGCCGTTCTAGAACCCCGCAGCCGCTCTAGCACCTATATAACTCCCCCCTTCATCAGGTAACAGGTCCTCCCCTTCCTTCTCTTCCTCTTGCTGCTTCCTCATACCCCTCCCCTCTCTCAAATACCTCACCAACCCCAGCACTCCGGCGGGAGTCATCCCCTCCATCCTCTTAACCGCACCAATACTCCCTGGGCGGACCTTCCCCAGCCTTAGCCTGATCTCCGTACTGAGCCCGGGGACAGTCCCATAGTCCAGTCTTTCGGGGAGTGAGAGCCCATCCTCAGAGAGGTAGGAGAGCACGTCTGCCGCTTGACGGGAGAGGTAGGTCGAGTACGTGCCTTCTATATCCAACCGCTGGAGGAGGTGGGGCTCGAGATCCTTCAACAGGGGTACGAAGGGCATCAGATCCCGCACGCTGACGTCCGTGTGCCGCAACAAATCCCACGCACTGCGCCGGATCCCATCGCGCTGGAGGGTGAAACCCTGCTGGGCCCATTCGTGTGGTGTTAGGAGGAGAGCCTGCATTGCCGTTTTGGCGGATGAGAGCTCGGATTGGGTGGAGCGGAAGGTTGACCAGCGGGAAGGGGGGATGATGCCTGCTGCGTGGGCGAGAGGGGTCAGGCGCGTGTCAGCATTCTCCGACCGAAGGGTGAGGCGGTATTCCGAGCGAGCGGTGAACATCCGGTCTGTACAGATCAATCAGTGCGGAATACCAGCAAGCAGGTTCACGTACAAGGTTCCTCCGCGCCCTTCTCGACCAGATCATCTATCAACACTCCTGTAAGCCCGTCCGCTCGGCTCAACACCAAGCGCTCCTCCCTTCCCTGCGCTTGGAGCCCTGCGTTGGCACCGGCAATCACGCCTTGACAAGCGGCTTCTTCGTATCCTGTTGTGCCGTTTATTTGTCCTGCGAGGAACAGCCCGCGTACTTTCTTCGTCTCCAGCGTGCCTGGTAAGATGTTAGTATATTCAGATGATCGCTCTTGCAAGGAGGGGGGAGGAGAGGGATGGAGGCAGGAGTAGGAGGGAACATACGTTCCAGCTCTCGCGGATCTACGAAATCGTACTCGATCCCCCATCCATTCTGTAGTATCTCTACCCGTTCCAAACCCCGGATAGTGCGTAACATCTCCAGCTGCGCTTCGGGAGGGATCGTAGTGCTCAGCCCGTTGGGGTAGATGACCTCTATTTGGAATTAGAATTCATTGGGGACGGAGAGGGAGAGAGGAATGAGAACGGACCAGAATCGTACCCCTCCGGCTCGAGCCACACAATATGTTTCTCCTTCTCCGAAAACCTCGTAACCTTCGCCTCCAAGCTCGGGCAATACCTCGGTCCTAGTGACGTATACAATCAGTCCGTGGTAGGAATGGAGAAAGAGGAGAGGTAGAACCGTTGATTGTCTCCTTTATATGGTGGGTCTTGTGCAGGTTTGAACGGACTATTTCGTGCGTTCGTGGATTGGTGTGGGTGAGATAACATGACATTTGGTTTTCCTTGAATTGCATCAGCGGTGTTTCCCACGGGTAAGACAGCTGCCTCCCGAACAGGGAGGGAAGAGATGAATTTGAGCGCACTTCGTTCGCTACCCCCGTCGACATATAACTAAAGCCCTTCCACCCCCTCTCTCCCTCCTGGACGACCATCCCCTCGAAACTCACCGTCTTCCCGTCCAACCGCGGGGGCGTTCCCGTCTTCAGTCGCCCCAACTTGAGCCCCACTTGGGTAAGGGAAGAGGAAAGCGTGGATCGTCGCGGGAGGGGTGTGCTTGTCATACCCACGTTTACGGTCGCTTGTAGGAAGGTACCGGTGCAGATTGTGATAGAGGAGGAAGAAAGGGTGTCGCCCGAATCTAGAGGTAATAATCGATGAGCACGCTTGAGTTAGGGTGAGGAAAGGGACGCACTGAGCCTAACACCCTGGACACTTCCCCACCTTCCAGGAGCGGAGGGATCTCCGGGGGAGAGAAGTAGGGAATGTACTTCTCCTTCCACCAAAGTGAGGTTCGGGTAGTTCCCCAGCAGCTCTTGCATATGCTTCTTATACAGCGTCCGGCTTAACTGTGCCCTCGGACCCCAAACAGCTGCCCCTTTACTTCTATTAAGAGTGACGAACTGCACGCCAGCTTTGTCGGCAACGCTTGCGCATACCCCGCCCATCGCGTCGACCTCTCGGACTAGGGTACCCTTCCCTACGCCGCCAATGGAGGGATTGCACGATAGGTTACCAATGTCCTTGAGCGACTGGGTTAGGAGTGCCGTCCGCGCACCAGAGCGGGCAGATGCAGTCGCGGCTTCGCACCCCGCATGACCGGCGCCGATCACTATGACTTGGAGGGGTGAGTACGGTTAGAGGAGGTGGAGGAAGGGCAGACCATCAAATGCTTTGGGAGTTGAAGAGAGGGAGGAGGACGAGGCGTGTGTTGCGAAAGCCCTAGTTCGGAGTGCTCTGTGCATGAGAATAAAGAGAGAACTCGAGGAGAACGGGCGCGTTAAAGAAATCTACTCAGGGTCCATCCCTTCCTTAAGCCCGAAGTAATCGCCGAGGGAGATGCCTCCGCGGTATCAGAGTCTAAAGTGTCTCCGCGCATGCCGAATGTCGGCGCCTTCGATCTCACGTCAGACGCACCGTTTCTCGCTCGTGTCCATCAACTCACCGCACCTGACCTTCCTTTCGCACGCGCTTACCTCTTCTTTGAAGCGCCCCTACTCTGCTTCTCTCTAACTCTCTCTTTCACCCTCTCCCTCCTCCAACATGGCAGCCCAAGTGATAACCCAAGTCTCCCCCGGTCCTACCTCCAGCTCTCCTATCACTCAAGTCTCGCAGACCGCACCTCCAGCACTGGCAGCTGGGAATGGCGCACATTTGCTTACCCGACTCAGGCTCGAGCTAAGGGGGACGACGTTCAACGTGGATCGGGAGGCAATTATGAGCCTACCAGAGAGCGTGTTGCTGTGTCTTTTCCCTAATGGGTTAGTGCTCAGTCGGCCGGAGGGGATGGGTACGGAGGGAGAAGAGGAGGAGGAGGAGAGGGCAGAGACATATTATGTTGATGTACGTTTGCGTCTATCTCCTGGAATTATCTAACGTGAAACGTTCCAGTTTGACCCCGATTGCTTCGCATTCGTTCTCCGCTTCTTCCGCGAAGCGCAAGAACATTTCTACGGTACACCTACGTCACCTGGAGGCCTGCTCGCTGCACAGCAACATCTCCTCGATAGTCCAGCACCCTCCATCCCCTCCGGCCCCGGGTTCCTCTCTCCTTCGGCCCAAAATCCCCTTTTAGTCAAACAAGCCATCATTGTTCTCCGTGAAGAGCTCGAGTACTTTGCCATTCCCCCGAGGGACGACGGGCATGCACGCACAGACCAGAATGGGAGGAGTAACGATCATCTCTTGCAGCTGAAGCGCGAGTGTGGTCGGTTGCTGTTAGAAAAGAGGAACATCTTCACTGCACTGCAGCGGAATGTGAACAAGGAGAATAACATCGCAGAACAGCATTTGATCGACATGCTTTGCATGAGGTGCGCTCCCTCTCATTTCCTTTCCCAAACCCTGACGCCGTCACAGTGGGTTCGATCGCTCTGACACCTGGGGGTACCGCGCTGTCGAGCCAGGCCGATCCTGTATCTCCTCCATCGCCCTCGTCCTGCTCAAAACCGGGATTTCCCACCCGCCCGCCAGCAGCCACGTAACCATTGACCACGCCCAGATGGCGACCGCCCAAAAGCTCCTTCTATTCTGGCGCAAGCCTGCTGTGAGTCTTGTTCCTCTCTCTAACACTAAGACGTGTGGCACTGATGATCCGACAGAGGAAATGCTGGTGGGACGGGATTGATCTTGACTTACCTCCGATCGGGCAGGCACCGGCAAGAAGAGTCCGGCTCTGGAGCAGGAGAGTATGGACACTGGAGCTCTCTCTCGTACGTGCTTGCCCCGCTCTCTCTCCCCTCCCATACAGCGCTGACCTGTTCACAGGTCTGAACCAGTGGTAAACTCTTCTCTTCCCTTTGTCCGTAGCCTGCTTAGCATTCATCGACTATTTTTCTTGTCTTGCACTGCTGCACTTTTCCTATGCCCGTACTTTCGAAAGTGCTACATACCCTTACATAACAGCAATGAACTCTTTCCGCGCTCGTTCGCTTATTTTGTACGTCGACGTGTGCTTTGGCTGACCAACTGGATCCCGCCAACATGCGAGATGGCTCTGTTGGGTCAGAAGGTGTATCTGTCAGTTATGAACACTATACCAACGGCATAAGTGATTGCCTTTTCACAAGGTCAGAGAATATCCTCCTTACGTAAGCTCACCACTGGACCAAATTCAGCGCGCCTTCACACCTCAGCTTCAACTCAGCTTTTCTCTTGCCCTTGTCCTGCAATTTACACTGCTTGTCTGGGTCAGTCATGGACGTCGACCTCGAGTCCTTTCAGCGGCACCAAGCTGCGCCCTCTGGGCGATCCGCGCCCCAGCAACCAGCAGTGGACGTCTCCCTCGAATTAGACGATCTCGGGAACCTGGAGCAACAGTACGCCTCCCTATCCCGTCTATGCTACATCTCACCCCTCACTCATTATAGCTTCTATAACCAAGGCTACCACGATGGCTACCAGCATGGTACCATTCACGGACTTATTGATGGCCGGCAACTCGGGCGAGAAAAGGGGTTCGAGCTGTGGGAAGAAGTTGGGTTTTACGAGGGATTTACGAGTACATGGAGCAGGCTGATCTCTCTGCCTTCTACTGAAGGGGAAGGGACGAGGACGAGAGCGGCCCAGAGCGCGCAGAGGCTGTTAGCGCTCGTCGCTAGATTCCCGACGACGAACCCTACCCCTGAACCTACACCACCGGGGGAAGAAGAGCACCCCGATGTGTTGTCGGACGAGCATGCTACCGTACCCCTTGGAGAAGATATGCCTGCGCTGCTGGCGAGGATGAGGGCGCAGTATAGGGCGCTTTGTGCGGCTCTGGGAGTGAGGCCGCGGATGGCGGTCGCGGGGAGTGCGGGGGAGGAGATGGGGAGGAAGTTGGCTTTTTGACCTCAATGGGAGTGTTTATGTCGTATGCGGTATCGCTCGGATGTGGGGGGTTGTATGGTACAGCGGCAGCTGGCGGTAGGGAGACTGTCTCTTCTCTCCCAATCACGACTGAATATCTTTCTAGTCCTCACTCCACCCCTGCGCTTTCTACAACCTCCTCGCCTGCTCAAACTTGGCGATCTCCTCCTCGCACCACTGCCAAAGCCTTGCACCCAAGCTCGGGTCCCGCGTATCCGGTTTGACATTCCCTATCCTCGCCCAAGGCACCAGGTAACACCCGTTCAATTTCCCTGCCTGAGGCATCGTCCCCGCATACAAGATCTGGAGTCCACCGTACGGCTCCAAGTCGTACAACAGGATCGTGTTCTGTGCTTGTGAGCATAATTGGAGGCGAGAGGATGAAGCGCTCACCAGTATATAATATCCTAACTTGGGCATGTTCTTATGCAGAGAGGTACGGATGTTTCCCGGGTCGAACGCGATAGACACAAGACCTTGGCTGCCGTAGCGTCCTGCTAGCTCACTCGAATACGCTGCATTACCCTAGGACCCGGTTTAGACTGGCAAGAGGTGAAAGACGAGAATCAAACCCATTTGGATTGGAAGTACATCTGCCACGTGCCGGCTTTCGTGCGAGCTGGACCATCGGTCAGCGTCTTGATATCAATACCGCCCTCGACAGCGTTTGCATGTCCGCTACACCCGCATCAGTATGCCAAATAAACGCGGAGGAAGAACCTACCAAGAACTGGTATGCACCACCCGGACCTTTCCTGGTGCTTCTTCAGCCGTCGAGAGGAGGACAGGAAGAAGCAGCTTCGTCAAATATGCATGTCCGAGCACTGTCGCCCCGAACTGGAGATCGTATCCCTGTTTCGTGAGCTGCTCGATCGGGGGAGTCATCACCCCTCTGCTTCAGCCTCAGGCCTTCGACCACTATAATAGTATCAAGGTGCATACCCGTTATTAAACAACATATGAAGCCTATTCTCCTTTCGCGTGAACTCCTCCGCTGCTCGCCGGACACTCTGGAGATCGGCAAGATCCAGCTCTAGAAGATGAATATCGGTCTTGCCGGTCGCCTGCTTCAGTTGGTTGATTGCAGGTAGGGCACGCTCCTTGGATCGGGATGCCATATACACCTTGGCACCCTTAGAGAGGAGGACCTTGCATGCGACCATGCCGATACCCGAGTTGCCACCCTGTTTCGACTGTGAGAATGAATGCCTGGTGAAGGGTACGGAGAGCGCGTACGGTGATGATTGCGATTCGGCCACTTTGGTCTGGGATGTCGTCGAAACTGAATCGGCTCTTTGGCGGGAAGATGAAAGAAAGTAGATTTCCCATATCCTTCTCCAAGATGAATGTAAGACTGGGGTTGAACAGCCGAGCAAATCTTTGGTCAGATTCCTGCATTTTATAATGACTTCAATTTCATGGCTCTCTCTAAACGTATGTGCAAATGAATGTTTCCATGGAGCACCCTGCAATGTAGTAATATGCCAGCTTGAGGTTATCCATAGCCCATGACTCATTTCGTGGTTCTCCCAGGACCCAGAGCGCCCATCATGGGCGCCCATTATTCTTCACGTGGGTGCGGAGACAAATGTTATTTCTGTTTACGTAATCAGCCCACCGAGGCTTTTCTGAGTCGACCTCACTCATCCAGAACTTTCCTTCGCAACCTCTCGACTGTACATTAATCCACTTCTCGCTCTATTCCGATACCCTCACGAGGAAGATGGGATTCTACGACGAGATCGAAATTGAGGATATGATATGGGACGACGCCAAGGGCGTGTTCCACTACCCCTGCCCGTGTGGAGACCGATTCGAGATCTCGCGCAAGCAATTGGCAAATGGGGAGGATATTGCTGTTTGCCCGAGCTGTAGTTTGGTGATTCGTATAATCTACGATTATGTGCGCACTGTTTTATTTATGTTACATAGCAAGTGCTGACGTGTGTAGCTTGATTTCGAGGATGAAGGGGATGATGACGAGGAGGTCAAAGAGGAAGAAGCTGAGGAATCAGACGACAACGCTGACGAGAAGTTCGAGGATGCTGTCGAGCGCCTCGAAGTCGACCTTACCTCCCGCATGGCTGAGGCACGCGTATAGAATAAACTTCAAACCGGCGCGAACGCACAAGCAGTTGCATCCTCGTCGACATCACCAACCCATCGGGGAGTGTGCATCGAAGCATTACAACGCGGATGATGCTGGGTGGGAACGGCGGGGTGCTGATCTCCGGAGATCATAGATACCAGCTTCCTGCTTTCCAGCAGACCTCCGTGCTGCCTGTTGTCTGCTGTGTTGGTGCCATATTGTGAAGGAGGCATACAGTTGATTTACTGCTACAGTCTACTGTGTATGTTATAGGCGTTTGTCAACGATGTATGCTACATGTGTCTGTTGATGTCAGTATCGATGCTACTATCTATGTAATATGACACTCGCCTGTGTTGCCTTCTTCCACATCGTCGTTCCCTGCTCAGACATCCTCGTGTCCCCTTCGGACGTTGTCCTCTTCCATATCATCGACCTCCATCGTCGGGGTCGCCGCCCGTTGGATCAGGATAGGAGCAACTTGAGCCTGCTGCTTCTTCGCCGTCTTCGTCTTGGTTCGTTGTTTACGTGCACAGCTGGCGATCGCGTTCGGACGACAGTTCGTGTTCGTCGACTTGCTCTTCTTGACTTTGCCGGCGTTCTAGCCATAGTCAGTCACAACCACGTACGAGTCATCCAGACCGACCAAGTTGTAAGCGCATATCCCATTTTGCCCATAGTAGCATTCCATCATTCCTCCCTTGCGAACGGTGTTTGCAAGAGCGTGATTCGTTCGATCGGATGCGGGGCAGGCAAAAGCGCAAGCAGCCGACGTTCGAGGAACAGCCACAGCTCCAGCGGAGCATACAGCCAATAACAAGTGGATAAGACAACTGAGAAGGCGCATGGTATGTCGAAATAGGAGAGTATTAGGGCTTCAATAATGGACAAATTAATGTGGTTGAGGTGGGTATACAGCCAATGATGCGCAGTACAAATGAGGGTGATAGCTTGTATGCCGACTAGAGCGTCGGCAGAAGGGTTACTTGACTTTGCCATTTACGACCATAAGACTCAGACGTCCGCTGGAATGCTAGAGTCCGTTGAGACAGAGTTTGTCGATCGGCAGTGAGGGCTTCTTTTACGGACCGATGAAACCTTTGTCTTTGGAACAATGATCGTTCACTGTGGACTCTCTTTATCCACTGCGACTTCCTTCCAGTTTCCTTGGGGAAACATGGTCTTCTTATCATATGCATCTGGCAGAGTCCGAAGTCAGTGTTGCATGAGTGGTCGTGCGGAAGGGCGCCTGGTGCCTTGCCTCCGCCCCAAGGGCATGTGTCTGGTTCGTTTCTGATTTACAAGTCTCCACTTTCAAACTCTTCGGAAGTACCCTCTGTACCTCTGCGCCTCCTTCACCTAGTTTTCGGGCGAAGAAATGAAGATCAAAGAGATGGAAATCTATTCAAAGCCAATCAGATAAGCTGGTCAAGGCACGCCTCCCTTTACCCGCCTTGGCGACCTTGGCGATTTTCCTGGGCGTTTCGGTCATGTTTGCTGCTCTTCCACAACTTCATTTGCACCATGCGCATTCTCAATACAATACACGCACGTTCGGATTCTTGCACCCTCTCATGCATAAGATGTTCTAGCTATTTGCGGAAAGCGCAGACAAAATCGGTGCTTTGCTGATGGGGTGGGATTCCGGTATTCCAACATAAAAGGCGGAGCGGTCGTTCCCGTCGATATCTCCAGGGTTGAAGGGATTGCCAGACTTGACAAAATGCTCTCTGTTGTCCCCGTTGCTGTTTCTCTCTTGTCGCTTGCTGCTCTCGGTGGTGCCCAGACGTTCCAGCGTCTTGGCACTTGCCCCAGCTTGGGATGCATTTTCCCTCCTGACCAGTACGTAATCAACTCTACGTGTTCCAGCATTGCTGAATTGTTACATAGGACGGACTTCCTTCCTGGTGCTTTCTTCGACATCCGGGCTGAGATCCATGCCCCGGTCAACGGTTCCGAGGCTAACGGCGGTGTTCCGGACACTGCGTTCGGCTTCACCCTGGAGAAGGTTGGCTCCGATGCAAAGCCGATCTCCGCTTTCTTCAACGTGAATGAGCCCAATATGGAGAGCTGGAACTTCACCTGGTTCGAAGGTAGGATTATCCTACGATCGTTGTTCTGGATGGTAGCTGATGTGGAGTGTAGACCTCTTCGCCAAGGATGCGAACACTCCTTCCCTCGTCCGCGTCGCGTCCAAGGCATGGCGCAAGGTCTCCCTCAACGAGCCTGGTGACTACGTCGCGACTCTTGCCTATTACAATGGCAGCAAGACCGTTGCCAACTGGCACGTTCGTGACCAGTCCCCTGCCCGTAAGGCCAAGAACATCCTCCTGTTCATCGGTGACGGCATGGTTAGTTCAGCTCTCGCTCTCAATCGAGATCGGTCAATAGATGACGTGATCTTCAGACTACCAACATGATCACCGCCGCTCGTTTGATGGCGCACAAGTCCATCAACGGCAAGTACCAGTCCCTGATGGCGATGGACAAGTTCCCCGTCGTGGGCCATCAGATGACCCACTCGATCGACTCCTTCATCACCGACTCTGCCAACAGCGCGACCGCCCTCTACACCGGTCACAAGTCTACAGTCAATGCTCTCGGCGTATATGCAGATTCTTCCAAGACTCCCTACGACGACCCCAAGGTCGAGACGATTGCCGAGATTTTCCGCCGCAAGATGGACGGTGGTGTCGGTATCGTTTCCACTGCCTTCATCGCTGACGCGACCCCTGCTGCTCTGACGTCCCACACCCGTGACCGCAACCAGTACGGCCCCGTCATCGACGCATATCTTAACGGCATAGTCAATTACACCTGGACAAATTGGTCCGGGCCCGATGTCCTCTTCGGTGGTGGAGCTGAGCAGTTCTATCCCGGCCCCGGCTCCTTCCAGGGCAAGGACTACTACTTGGAATTCGAGAAGAAGGGTTACCAAGTCATCTGGAACAAGACTGCCATGCAGGCCGCCTCCAATGACACCAAGACGCTCGGTATCTTCTCCGTCAACAACATGGCCAAGTGGCTCGACCGCAATGTCTACACCGAGAACCTGAAGAACCAAAAGAACTCTCCTGATGGAAAGGGGACCGATGCCCTCGACCAGCCTGGTCTGAAGGAGATGACCGTGAAGGCGATGGAGATCCTCCAGGCTCGCAGCGGTGATAAGGGTTGGTTCATGATGTCCGAGGCTGCTTCGATCGACAAGCAGATGCACACGTGAGCGCATTCATCTGTCTGATTTGAGTTCTATCTCATTCTATCCCAGCCTCGACTACGACCGTGCCCTGGGTGAACTGCTCGAGCTCGACGACACTATCCGTGCTTCGATCGAGTACCTCAGGGAGACCGGAGAGCTCGAGTGCACTCAGATCCTCGTCACCGCCGACCACGGGCACGGATTCGATGTGTTCGGCTCTGTCGACACCAAGTACATGAACGCCGCCTCCACCGACAGGCAGAAGCGTGGCTCGATCGGCACCTACCAGAACTCTGGTCTCTCCCAGTACACCTTCGGCGGCAACCTCACCTACTCCGAGGGCGTTTACTTCCCTGCTCGCTGGGACCCGCGCTACACCCTTGCTGAGGGTCTCGGTGCCCATCCGGATGAGCGCGAGAACTTCGAGGTCGTCAAGCCTGGCCCTCGTCTTCCCGCAGTCAACATCTCCGCCGAGCACCCTACCGACTTCTACGTCAATGCCAAGGAGACCCAGACCGGGTTCATCGTTAACGGCACCCTGCCGGTGAACAACGATCAAGGTGTGCACTCCCTTACCGACGTTCCTGTGTACGCCATGGGGCCTTGCCAAGAAGTGTTCGGGGGAACTTATGGCAATATCGATATTTTCTACGGCATGGCTAACTGCCTTGGCCTTGGCACCCCTTCGTACTAGACCTGCTAGGAACGGACCATTGGAAATATTTGATGCGAATGCGCTAAGTTAGCTTATAATTCATTGTCAGGTTTGATGGTTCTTTGTATGACGACAACCAAAAGCGGCGTAAACCACATGGAAGCGTGGTGACAGTTGCGAATGCCAAGCTTAAGTGACGGTCCGGCCAAACCCTTTAGCCCCGAAAGAACGAATCCCAAGACATCATCATGGTTCCTATGACGTACATGTTTCCCTCCTGCTCACCGCCAACAATAACGATGGAGCGAATGTTGGAGTCTCAGTATCCCAGTACATGCTAGTCTTCCTCCGCCTCCTCATGTCGATTGGTGCGACCCTATCAAGCGCCCGTGACCCCTAACCGATGACATCATCCGGCGCCACAACATCGTCGAAGGTGACGCAGCGCTTCCCTCCATCTTGGCCTGCGATGGACATGCAAACTCGACAAGCAGGAGTATATAAGATGCAGCTAGGTGGCAAGATGGCAGGCTAGAAAAGCCACGCATCTACACTCGAACAACCATCAGTCCGAAACTTACTAAAATCAACATGGTACATACCTTTGGGCTAGTGTCGGGACCAAGTACCATGTTCTGATGACTTGACCAGGGATCCGTATTTTCAGCTATTGGAGGCGCCATCATGGCTGTCATCGCCGCAATAGCGTCCGTGCTTGAAGCTATCGTCGGTGGCATCACCACAGTAATCGTAGCCAGTATGTTCCCTGATCGATTCGACAATATGCAATTGCTGACCACTGTGACAGTCTGGAACTTCATCCTCGACATACTCTGCTGCCGCTGCTGCAGAGGGGGTGGTTATAGAAGTCGGCGAACGGCCGCATACTAGGGGCGCGGGTGAGCCCAGAGTGACGCGTGCTCGGCCTCCGGTTGTCCCAGTGGCGACCGTGTAGCCGGGAGACGCTCGACCCGCGCCGCGATGTTCCAGGTTACCGATCTCTGCTGTTGATCTAGCCGAGCCAGGGATCCTGGGACTCTTCATGGTCACGACCGTTGACGATGTTTTGCTGTATCGTTACACAGACTCGACTGTACCGTTCATAGAATATAGTACCCCTTAATGTATCGTATGAGTGTTGCCATATGAGCGTTCATCGAGGGATTAAGTTTCGTCAGGACAGAGTAATTCTGCTTGAGGAGATATATGCATCCATCAGAGAGCACAAGTTGATTGTGGACGAGAGGCATGATGTGCTTATGACGTAAACATTCGTGGAGTTCAAGGTCCTTAACGCCGACAAGATGAAACGGCCGATTATTCCCGACGCCAACTTCAATGGTCATTAATATTGAGCCGCTGCATTGAAGTCATATCCAGATGTAATTCGGGTTGTAATAGTGATAGAGTGTTATAAAATATTCTTAAACGTGGTCAGCATCAGACATGGCCTGAGCTGCTGTCATCTGGGGGATGTCAGGAGGCAAGGGTATCTCCATACCGATATTGCGATGTCGTTCTCAACGCTCCACAGGTCGACACGCACGGTCTAATATTCTCAATCCCTCTTGTATTATTTGGTTACTTGAACTGTATCATTAACGTGCACCAATGGAACAGCAACCCGACTCCCAACATGTACTCCAAACGCAGGTCCCACGTCTGCTTGTAGAACTCATCCTGCATACCCTCGAGTTCGCGCCCACCGCGGACCTTACGCGGCTGCTCGATGACCGTACGACCTTTCGTGCTCTGCCTGCCCTGATCCTACGTCAGCGGTTTCTGAGGATGCTCGAGGCCCCGAATCTCTCTCTCTCGGTGCGCTGTGTCCTTCTTCCGATCTCCTAGCACCTACTAACCCACAATGCTTGGATGCATGCAGTTCGAGTGCTCTCTTCCTATGGGCTACACTGTAGATGCACGACAAGATCACAAGCTTAAGTTCTCGCATATCGACGACACTTGCACGAACCTCACCGCACACTTCACGTTCCCGCAGAGCGGGCCCCCGTTCGCGTTCAACCTCGAGTCACGAGAGGCATTCCAGACCGTGCTGTACACTCTGTCCTTGCGCTATAACATTAAGGGCACTCGCAAGCTTACCTATACCATGACGATCTTGGATGGCATATACCGGGTACGTCCTTCGCCCTTGCTCTTTCCTGGTCCACCGGGCTTGTTCCTCTCGCATTTGCAGAGCTGACCCATCCACTCAGTTCTTTAGAACTTCCTTCCACCCCATCTCCCGGACAGTCAAGCACTCTCTTGCGGACGCACCTACTCCCCCATGCGCGCTGCATGCGCTGCACCTCCCACCCGACGCACCCTTCACGAGTGCCAGCGCACGGCACAGATCGCAGCTCTCCTCCTCCTTCCCAGCATCTTTCCCTTTCCCGGACCATGTCACCAGATACAGCTTGAAATTTCAGAGCATCGAGATCAGTATACCCCAATTACTGTTGATCAACGAGGAAAATGAGGCCCGCGAAGATTGCACAGTGTTTATTCTTGGGCGTTGAGATATCCGACCTCGTCCTTCCGACTTGTGTTGATGAGCGATCTAAATGGAGGTGAAGTTTGAAATGATTCATTCATTGGCAATGGCCAGTATATTACTTGTTTTGTATAGATTGGTTCTGGGGGGCTATTTCCGATCTCCGTGGTGCCCGGGGATCATCAGCTCGCATGCTTCCAACAATATTTTTATTTCATCTATTCTGGTCTACCACACTGGGGGCATTGTCGGATATCCAATATGGCTCGATCTACACCGTAATTTGGAACTTCTTTCGGCGTCTGTTCGCCTGTCGTTTTTATATTTACTGGTGTGGTTCTGTACGCGTTATTTGTCCCAATGAATCCTCTTGTATAGAATAACCGATCAAGCTCGCCACAGCGGATTTCCGTAGCTGGAGAGAATCTATGGAATTTCAATGCTTGCCGGCGCAGCAGAATTTTCAGCCTTCCCAGCATTTCGGAGAAGAACATCAACGCCGAGCGCGTTTCCCTCACGCGTCTCGTTTCCGGCCACACGACCCATACGCGCAAGAACGTTGAACACCTTCTCCCCCTTCCTGGTCCCACCACTTGGAGTTCCTCCTCCTGCTCGATCACCATCCAACGGCTATCCGTTCTCGACGCTCCATCCCGTCGTCCGACGCCCAGGACCTCTTTTCCACTTCCCGTGGGAGTCGAACGGCCTTGACGCGACTCTCCAAATCTCACGCGCAAACGACGGCTGGAACAGCCTGTGGCTAACCCAAATGCGCCGATATTCCCAATTCTAACTATAGTTCACCCGATACATGATGTCACTGTCGTGTATGCGCGTCGGATAGAAGCTCTGTTTGAAGGGAACGTCAACCCGAGATGTCTTTCGCTCCGAAGTCTCGGATTCCTGGTTCGGTTGGACGATGCCTCTTCCTGAGACTTGGCCTACCTCTGGTGCATATAAAGGCTGCTGTATGCTCTGTTCCTCCTCAGAGCAGGATATACCGACTCTCTTGCGGCTCGAGAACCTGCCTACACCCAGCACTTGCGTAAACTATGCAATCATTCCTGCTGCTCGCCGCGCTTCCGTTCGCCTTATGCACCCCGCTCCAGCCGCGACAAGACAGCTCGACCTCTTCCGCAGCTCAACCAACTCCCACAGTACCCTATGCCTCCGACGACCCGAATGACAGCTTCTGGAACCAGTTCAACCAGCCTGGGGCTGTGCCCCAACCCGAGAGGGGCAACACAGGGGGTGACATTCTTGCACAAGATAACGTACCGCTCGATATTGAGAATCCGGATACGCTTGCACCGCCCAGCACGGATGAGGGGGACATGTACGTGATTATATGAAGTGGGGAGCAGGTGTCTGACGCGCATATAGTCCTAACTCTAAGTGGCCGTTCTCGTTGTCCCACAACCGGCTTCAGGATGGTGGCTGGGCTAGGCAACAGAACGGTGCGTTCGCGAGATCTTAGCTACATCCTTTGCTCAACACGCGTCGTATAGTGAACAGTATGCCTATCGCGACGGCGCTTGCGGGTGTGGATATGCGGTTAAAGGCGGGAGCATATCGGTGCGTGCTATGGGCGAGCTTGGAACGCTCTCATGCTTAATACGCACGCTTCTAGCGAGCTACACTGGCATACAGCTTCAGAGGTGGGCGCCTCTATTGGACCGCTTGGTGTATTCTCATACTTGGTATAAACAGTGGTCCTACGTTCTTGCTGGAAGCTGTCGCATCACAGCAGTTGATCAACTAGGAAGGAACTACATTGCCGATATTGTAAGTCCTTCGCTGTGCACGTACCAATGTATTCTAACAGTGAGTTTAGTACCAAGGAGATCTCTGTAAGATACATCCCACCATAATGATCCGTGGTTTTGAAAGTGCGTTCGAAAGGGTACTTTCCCCCTGGTATTCCCCATTCGATTCAAGGTCTGAACGACACAGCCGATGGATGTGAATTCCTTCTCGTATTCGACAACGGCGAGTTCAGCGAAGACGATACCTTCCTCCTTACCGACTGGCTCGCCCATGTGCCCAAAGAGGTGCTCGCCAAGAACTTCCAACTCGATATCAGCCTCTTCGACCACATACCTGGAGAGGAGCTATACATTTTCCCTGGGGTCGTGCCTCCTCCCATTGATCAGGATGCGGTGGAAGATCCGAATGGCCAAGTACCAGAACCATTCTCGTATGCATTTTCCCAGATACAGCCGACCGCATATCAAGGCGGATCGGTTAAGATCGCGGACTCTAGGACTTTCAATATCTCAACGACGATCATCGCTGCTGAGGTTACCGTCAACCCTGGGGCAATGAGGTCGGTCTACCCCGCTCCATGCTCCAGACCACTGCTCATCTCGTAAAACCAGGGAACTGCATTGGCATCCAACAGAACCAGAATGGACGTACTTCCTGTAAGTATGAGCCAAGCCGTTCCCCTCCTCTGGAATTGACATCCAACTCAGAGAGGGCAACGCCCGTTTGACGTCTTTCGCTGCCTCCGCCACCGCGAGAACGTTCAACTACCAGGCGGGTGATATTGCCTACGTGCCTCCAGCGTACGGGCACTACATCGAGAACATCGGTGACACCACCGTGAAGTATCTCGAGATCTTCAATGCTGCTATCTATCAAGATATCAGGTATGGACTCATGTCTTAGTCGGAGCTTCTGCTCATCTATTCTCCTCAGTCTTACACAATGGATTTCCCTCACCCCACCGGAGATGGTCCAAGCACACCTGCAGCTGCCACTCGATGTCATCCAATCCTTTAACAAGTCCAAGGCGACGGTCGTGTACTAGGGAGCAGGGCGACGCCTGGCACACAATGCATTGGACCAAATAGAGATAGTTTCGTCCCTGTATCCTTCCGGAGGCAGAACCAAATGAATCAAATTCTTCCCTTCTTTCTCTCGTCTCGCTGAGTCACAGCTGCGATGTTTGATGTCTTCCGGACTAAAAAGTGTGCAAAAACTGTTCTATTAGTCGTGCATGACATAATATGTGAGCGTGAGAGACACAGTAAAACCATCATGTGTTAACAATCAACGATCCTTAACCCCACCTGTACAATGCCTACTGCCTTGCCTGCTCTCTCTCCCTACTCGCCTTCGTGTCCACCCTCACATACTCGTTCTCCGCCTGCTCGTCCTCGTCCTTCCTCACAACCTGATACGCCTCACCCAAGATCAGCAGCCCGACAGCTCTGAGCTGCCTCTTCTCCCTCGACACCTCAGGCGCGGAGAGGACACGATCACACGTCTCCCGGAGGATGGACTGGATCTCCAGCCGTGCACCTTTAAATAGCGCTTGGAGGGCTTTTTCGGCTGCTTGCTCTTCGAGACGTTTCTTGTCCGCTTCTGTGAGCCCTTTCTTCTCGCTTTGCTCGATTTGCTCAAAGATACTCTTGAGCTCCATCGCAGCCCGGACAGTTGATACGCTGCAGAGGTGGTTAGTATCAAAAGTCGAGTACTGGGAGTTGGGCGCACGTTTCGCTGAAGAGATTCACATTGCCCTTCACGCCGTGGAACCATCCGCCAACACCGAACGGCGTTGCATTCGAGGCGAGGTATTGTCTGCTCTTGGCGACGTAGACATAACCAATGGCGTGTAATAGATCGACGCCATACGACTCAGTTTTCAAATCCCTGAATATATCTCATCAGTACAAGCAAAAACATTCAATAAGGGAAGAAACATACTCCGCCTCGAGCAAACACTGCGCCCTCCAGCTCTCCATTGCAACACGGTCATTCTCATGCGTCGCATTCTCCGTAAACACGGCCAACTTCCTTTCCAAATTCTCGACCAGTTTTGCGACGCGCTCTTCACGCTCTTTCTTCCTCTCTAACGCAGCCCGGCGATCTTTCTCATCCTTCTCTGCTTTCTTCTGACGGTCGATCTCCTTCTGCTCTCTCTCTCCCTCCTTGCCTTCCAATCGCCGTACACCTCCAGGCTCTCCCTCCCCTCCGACGGACTCAGACCGCGCATGCCCGTCAGCCTTCGCAGCCTCCTCATCCGCCTCCACCAGCGCGTCCTTCATATCCCGGCCAATACTGATATTCCCCACGAGCGGGACGAATTTCTCCCCGCCGAAGAGCTTGCCGAATACTTCTTCGGGGTCGACAAACCCACCTTCGGGAGACGCACTCTGGGATGGACCAAATTCATTGTATTTGTGTCTCAGAGCCGGGTCGGATAGGATCTGGTACGCTTCCGAGATCTGCTTGAACTGGAAGGGGCACATCAGCCGAGGTTAATACTAATTTGAAGGGATAGGCGCACGGTCTCAGCAGCAGTATGATCATTTGGATTCTTATCCGGATGGTGCTTGATCGCAAGTCTCCGATAAGCTTTCTTGATCTCATCCTCGTTCGCGTCCACCTTCACTCCAAGGATCTCATAGTATCCCGTCTCCAGGGGTTCCTTGTCCGTGCCTATCCTTCTCTGCCTCCTCGGGCGGTCAGGCATGGGTGGTGGCCCACCCAGAGGGGTGCTGCTCCCGCTCGCTGAGGGGTTGGGGGTCTGTCCGCGAGAGCGAGAGGAACCAGCTGTGAGGTTCGGGTTGTGCACTATGATCGTTGAGCAAGCACAGCATTGGAGGCGGAGTGGTCCTGCAGGGAGTGGGGATGGAGGGGTATACTCCAGCTCAGCTTTGCATTGAGGACACTGGAGTGTTGTCCATGGCGCACGTAGACGAGTGGGGATGGGGATTGCCATGGTGGGAGATGATGGGAAGAGAGAAAGGAGAGAGATAGATATGAGTTGGACAATGGATAGGGACTTTGAAGCACACGCGACTGGAACGAGTCAATGCCGGAGCCGGTGGACGGTTATTCCGTGAGTGTCTGTAACCACAAAGATAGAACTTTGTTACAGCTTTATACGAAATGATGAGAAGTTAGTTGCTAGGCAAATTTGCGATCCATCAGATGGATAGATCCTTTGAGATTACGATTCCTTGCCGCTTTGGGCATTTTGTCACAATTGCAGGCTATAAGCAACGACTTGTTTGCCTCACAGAATGCTAACCCATTGTCGAGATCTAGCCTGATGCTAAAGTACAAGCGGTAAGAAAGAATACCATTACCATTCAAGGATAAAATGAATAAATTATTGTGCTAGTACGGACGGCGGGAGAGGACAGCTTCATTTCGCATAGGGTCTCACAAGGGTCTCATGAGGGTCTGACTCCCCTAAATACTCAGACCCATTGTATGCAGGGTAATTAAATTTAGGTTCAAGCTCCGCTTTAACACCACACATTATCTTCCATGGCCTTGTCCCTTAGCACACATCACTGTCTATAAGTTGCACATTCCTCTGTCTACCACCATCAACTCCACTCTCTCTTTCTTTCTCCTGTTCCTTATATTTTCATGGCAAACCAAAGGAAAACCCCACCTTGGCAGCACACACCTTATTGGTGTTGGATCTCTACTCTCCCCAGTAGCAACAGCCCCCCAGCAGAACTCCCTGACCCTGAACCCAGCATTGCTCACCATCCTTCAACACCCCCACAAGACACATGTCCCTCCTCTCTGACAGAGATTCTCCAATGCCTGGAAACTCCTTCACCTCCTCCAACACACAAGCAATCATGTCAAAGTTATTGTAGGGAAGAGCTGGCAATGATCAGAGCAAATTTCCTTCCCCAAGACACTGCTGAAGGATTGCACACCATTCCCAACCTCCCTGTCATCTCCCCTCCTCCCATCGCTGTCCTTCAAGACTGTCCCTCTCCTGACCCAATGCAATCGCAGTCCCTTTCCCATCAAAGTAGTCAGTTTGATCAGCTTCAATCAACCCAAGATGAAATGGACCAGACTATCTTACCTCCCTCCACCCCACATGAAAGCAGAACCCCCCAGCACTCAGAGGAAGGGCTCTCTGATCACATGGCGCTTGCACATAAGTGTGCTTCTGTCCTGGCTATCTTGAAGACCCTCCATACTTCCAGCAAAGAAGCTTCTTCTGGCACTCAGAACCAGGTGTCCTATTCATTCAATCCCAAGGTGCTTGAGGCCATCAAAACTCTTGTCAAAGCTGAAGAGGAGCTCACCAACCATATTCAAGAAGTTCTTGATGCTCACACTTGTGAAACACTGGAAGCTTCCCTTCCATCTTTCTTATCCACTCATGTAAGCATTTCCACAACACAGTCCTCATTCCATAGTGCTGAACCTTCATTCACAGGAGTTTTTTGAACAGTGGTATTCACATACCCTGAAATCTGACCATGGCAGTCTCGACCTCTTCATTCGCTACATTGGCCACATATACACTGAGGCTTTCCCTGATGCATTCCTGACCTCTCCTTCAACTTATCACTGCAACTTCCCTCCTCTGAGCCATGTTGAAGAAGATGAATTCACCCACCTAATCTCAACATCACATGTGTCTTATCATACATGCATCCTTGACTCCAAGGAAGCTCAGGACCTCATCAATGACCTTGAATGCTGTCTTCCCATTCCCATTATCCACCCACTCAACATAGTTGATGCAGTATGTGGTGTAAACAACTGGTGCAAGTGGATGGTATGTCTTCCCAATTCCACCAATTTTTCTTCTCCTCATCTTCATTACAGTCTACCTACTTTCACTTGATTCACCAGGGGAAAATACCCACATGGCTACAAATGTGTGGGCCCCTTGCTCGCAATCTCGTCAATATATGGACCTGGAAGCTTGAATTTTCTTTGCATGTTGACATCAAGTACCTTGAGGATGTCAATGAGTCATTTGGTCCAGACTGGACTCTGACTGAAGTACTGCACCAATGCAAATCTGGTGGCCTTGGTACCACAGCTGAAAGGTACCAAGACAATGTATACTCCACTAAATATATAGGCATGCTCTGCGAGGTCACACCCTTTTCCCCCGAACCTGATGACCATCCTTGTCAGTTTGCTAACTGGATAGCCAAGATTCAGGCCTATTTTGTCAGTCTTCTCATTGCACATTTTTCCCTAATTTATCTGACCTCTATTCTAGGTCAATCCTCTACTCCATTGCCAGCTTTTCAATTCCCCCTTCACTCCCCTCTTCACCCTGCTTCTGTGTGATGTCCTCAGGCATGCTGCTACAGCCCATCTCCAATATGATCTTGAAGAAGGGCCATTCACCTTGGAAGGCCTACCACACATCATTATTGAATCCATCAAGGATTTCATGACCAATGGTTCTTTCAATGTGTGTCCATTCCTCACAGACAAAATGCTGGCAGATCTTGAATCTGCTGGCTGAGCATCCTCCCAGGAAGAAATCTATAAAGGCATTATCTTGCTCTCCTGACATGTTGCTAGGCCTGATCCTGAGCAAGAACCTCTTCTCGATCTCTATCCTGAGAGTGCTGTGGTCCTCTCCACTTGACATCAAATCAGCAATATCAATACCAACATTCTCTGCTGCCCACCTCCGAGTGTAGACATCGACTTTATTCCTGACCTTGAAGTCTGCTGGTCTGCACATGTGGTTAGGGTCAAAGGCCTCTTCCCATTTCCTTTCTGGGTCCATTATTGACCTTCTTTCCATGATACCTTACTCATGAATCACAGATCTATTTCAGACATGATATGTGCTATGAGTGTTGGCACTGATCTACACCTTGTAGAGGGTTAGAATGCTGCTGTTATGGATGGGAAGGTGCAGCTTGCATAGAATGTTGAAAGAAAGGGTTGTCTCACCCATGCCTCAGACACAAGCACAGTTACAAGAACAGTAAGTATCTATTTCCCCACTCTCACAGTCTCAATAACCTTGTCCTATAGTTTCTTTTTGAGATTGGCAGTGGCCCAGGGAGGACATTCCCAGTCACATTCAGGATCAAAGGCTGGATGAGGCTCTGGACACAGCTTGGTATTCCTATCAGTTGTCCAATGACAAGGAACCTGAAGAGACATGGCAGGACCTCTTTGACAACTTCTGGCTTGACATGCAAGCACTAGAGAAATCAGATCAAAAGGACACAATGCACCCTGAGGACAGTCACCATGAAGACAGTCATGAAGAAGAGATATCAACTATTGAGGCTGGGATCAGGCAGGCAAAGGCAAAGGCAAATGCAAAGGCAAAGGCAAAGGTGTCAGGGCACCAGCCCATTGCTTGGTCAAGAGACATGACTAAGCCTTTATGACATGGAAGTAGCTGGTATACCTTGGCATGTGCTGGAACCTGCTGGAAAGATTGGATGGTCAGGTGACCTGCTGTGCATGGCTGTGCATGACCTGATCACCTGACTAGGCTGAGTAAGCAAGATGTTCTAGCAGGTTCCACCACAGAGGTTTAAATATAAGGCCTACTCTGCCTGGGGACTGTCTCTTCAGACTTGGTCTCTTAGGATCATCCACAGGTACCTATACTGTAGATAGGTCTTAGTCATCAGGTCTACTCCACTTCCTTGTTGCCTGCTTAGACTCTTGGCACTCTTAGGTGAGCAGACTTAGTCAGCCTGTGTTGCCCTAACAAGGCCACAGGATGCCACGAATCCAATGGCCAATTCCCACAATTATTAAGATCAGAAATGAACCACCCACTCCCACTTTTGATGGTTGCCTGACTTTTTTTTTCCCCTAGCATTGGTGATCTGATGGTTTCTTTCTCAGAATTTTCAGGCTGTGCTACATGGTCCTGTCTTTTCCAGCATGCTAATTGGCTACCATCCTATCACAACAATCATGCGGCCCAGATCCACAACCTGGGCACCTTCT